GTTCCAAGCTTCTTCTGTTACTTCTGGGTCAAAGATCAGTGGAGTATGCACTGACCGCCTAGACCAGTTTGAGTTCGATACATGCAGGAGTAATCAACTCCAAATCGCATTACCTGGATGTCTTAGTCCGACTTCAAAAAATTAAATTTAGTACAATTTCAGTCGGACTAACATGTTTACATGTACTTTCAAAGTCCGGTTTTAGTCGGACTAACACAATAATTAAATTGTCTAAGTGCATGTAAACGTACTGAGTCGTGCACACTGCCCTCAAACACCACATGGTGGACACACACACACACACACACACACACACACACACACACACACACACACACACACCTCATTATTTACAGCTATTAACATAAAATATTATGCATAACATTAATGTGCATGATAGCAACACAATACTTCACACAGCTATTTATATTAGTTAGACTTGGCATCAGTCCAGTATGCCACATTGCCTGACGGGAGCTCCCAGTGCTACAGTATTATATGGTTATTATGTACTGTATCGTGTACGATTATGTGGTTAAGAGACACGGATAAATTTAAACCATAAACAGTGACACCAAACATGTCATTAACTTGTGTTCCTCCCACATTAAAAACTAATTAGTTACACAACGTAAAGGTGTTAATGATCTCCCTCATTGTTCATGGCTTATATCATCACTTAAATCAGATTTTCCTTGAAAATGGCAAAATCTTCAGCAATAGATAAATTGGGCATGTATCATTGTTCCAGATTTTTAAACAATTTTTAACACAAATTATCCTTCTGTAAAAAGTAATTGACTAATGTGAGCCCTGCATTAAACCATTGGCGTTTGTTTTTGAAGGGGCTTCATGATGAATGCATTTTTTTAATATTGCACCACTATTTTTATCCGATATAGACTGTCAGTGCATTTTCCGTGAGCGAGGAAGTAAATTATCTAATCTTTCAGCGCCTGTGAGCTGTTAAAGATCTGCAAGTTCGGCACTCTCGTAACGCAGAGAGGCACTCTGCCAGGATTGCATTCTTTAAGCTGCCAACCCGCTTTGCTTTCATCAGTCCGTCCATATGTTGGGGTGTTAGCTATTGTTTCAATTATGTTTCAAACAGCTTTACGGCTGATTAAATGTATGCCAGTTGACTAATCTTAATAGTGCTATAATTCTTTATGTTTCAATGGATTGATCCAAAGGAAATGATTTTGTAGCCAAAACAGTTTAACATTTCTTTAGTATCAGTAGCTTTGTAAATATGCAGTCAGTGGCCACTTTATTAATTACCCCCACATGTTACAGTGCTGGACCCCCACTTTTGTCCTGAACCATTTCAAGGGTTGATGAGTCGTGCATTTAGGGAAGCCTTTCCGCACACCGCTGTTGTACTGAGCCATTATTTTTACACTTGTAATCTTCTGGTTCGCTTTAACGAGTCTGGCTATTCTCCTCCATGCTCTCTCATTAACAAGCAACAGAATTGCTGCTGAATGAATATTCCTGTTTATCACACCATTCTTTGTAAGCACGTGAAAAAAAAAAATCTCAGGAGGGTGTCTGTTTTTGAGATGCTGTAACCACCACGTCTGGCACCGACAATCTAGCACATTTAAAATAGGATTCTGCGTCTTCGCTTTTCTTCGCTTAGCCACACAATAATCGGCCCTGTTGACCCTGCCTGTGTGCTGCATATATTCAGCCACATGATTTCTCTGTTTGGAGAGACAGGCTGTTTTCTAATAAACTGGACACTGAATGTGAATAATGCAATTAGCTTAATATCTTTAGACAGTATAATTTGGGCTAATAGTGCGTTATTGCACTTAATTGCACCTAATGGTTTTAGGTTGGGTTTTACAATTGCAATTATGCCATCTTCCCCCCTGGGAATTTTTATGCCGGGTGCCTTAGGAAGTAAGTAGCTTTGGTTAATATCCCAGGCACTTTGGGGTGTCAACTAACAAGCTGCCTGTACCACAATGTACTGAAAAAGGGAACAAAGCTTCTGCTCAAATGCATGTAAATATTTTCTCAGTTTTAATGATGAATAAATATATACGGAATTCAGATTAATGAACTTGTTGCAATTATGCAGCTAAATATTATCTTGAATAGATTAACAAACAGCTAAATCAAACACTTCAGTCTTTCCCCCACTCTTCTTATTCAATTACATATTTTTCTTTGTCTATTGATCTTCAGATGTTTATATAAAATGGATGCCATACCGCGATATTAGTATCATCCGGTAAATGGTTAACGGGTCGTATCATGTAAAGATTACAAGTATTGCTGAAATCGTTAAACTTTATTTAACGATTGTTATATTCACCCAGTATTTTTTTATTGAATGTGTTTTCACTGGGCTGTTTGTTTTTTTGTTTGCCAGTGTGTAATAGATTTTGATTGGAGCAAGTACTTCGCTTGATTTTGTTTCCACCAATGGGATTTGCTGCCACGAACATCGTGTACAAGTGGCAGCGGGGTTCCAGAAGATGTCTTTTGAACTGCAGTGTCTACAAAGGGGTAAACGGTACGCGGTCCGCCCCGCGCTGCTTGTTCTCTTGGCAGGATACGTGGCTGGCGTTAGTCTCCTGTCTCTCTGCCGTCGAGTCTCACTCAGCCTGCATGCTGGGGTGGCGCCGTGTGTCAAAAATGCTTATTAAGATGCCACTGAGGGCAGGAACTGTATTACATGGGTCCGGTTCCACATCTGTGTCCAATCTGCACTGACCAATCAGGGCAGCCCTTCTGCAGTTACTGAACACTCCTGGAAAAACTGAGTAAGACTGAGAGTGTGTTATGGAGGGAGAAAAAGACCATTTGCCACGCCAGCATATCCTCATCCTAGATTTTGTTTTGTAGCTTTAATCCTCTTCGTAAAAAGGTAAAAAACGTCTCTTAATAAAATCCTTAAAGGAACTTTTTATTAGTGTAGCAAAGGCACCGTTTTACATTTTTTTCCACCAGATTGTTTGTTGAAGTCCAAAGTGCCCCCTGGTGTTTCTGGTAGGATTATTGTTTTATATACATTTTTTTTTCTTTTTTAATATCCACCGTGAAAATGGTGGCAAGATGAAACTGGGTAGGGCTAAAACAATGTGGAGAATGGGAGGCCAAACGAAACAGCAGCAGGTCATGTGGCTTGGCGTCCATGTAAGTTTGAAACAACTACAAAAGTTTGCCCTGAGCAACTGTAACTTTGGCCACATGGGATTTTCTGTCAGGTAGAATTTAGACCAATAACATGATTATTGCCTTTTTAAACCCTGGATCTTTTTTCTGTTGGTATAAGTCTGATAGACATGAAATTTGGTTGTTCAGGTAGAAAAATTCTGAAAATAGGCCAGTCAAGTGTCATATTAAAAGTTTACTTTTATCATTCACGCCTGACCCTGCAGTGTCAAAAAAAGGGTACACGCCTGCTACAGTTTTGTACCCCAAAGGTACAAACAACATTAATGTACCCCCAAAGGTACATATGTGTTCCTCAGAGTCCATTTCTGTACCTTAAAAGGTACATTTACCTGCAGCTAGGGTACAACTGGCAGGCCCCTGAGGGCACAACTTCAGAGACAAATATTTGTACCCTCAAAAGTAAAAATTGGTACTTTTTTTCTGACAGTGTAGCAGACATTCTAAGCGTCAACTTCTGAATATCTAAGATGTAAATATCATATCATGCTTGATTTCAGTAGACTGGCCCACACTATATTTCTTTGTATCTGTGCACTTTTGTGAACAATAAAATTGTCATTCAGTGCTAAAAGGCAGCTTTCCAGTGTAGTTTCTTCATGAGCCATGCAGGAATAGCCAGTGCAGTAGCTGCGCTTGGTGTCTTTTTGTCCGCAGTGATAAACAGGAAGTTGAAGTCTCACGTTACGTTCCGGCCTGATCGGTGATTTCGTGAATCGATGTTCTGAAGGAGATTCTGCATTCAGACGTCACACAGAAGCAGGATCTACAGGTCTGGGGCCTGGTCAAGGTTCACAGTCAGGAGCATAGTGTGATTCGGCATTTTTGATCATGAAAACTGAGGACAAAATCCCCCACAACGTAAAGTGGGTTTTATAACAGTTTCCTGTCCAGATTTGTCAGACTGGAAATGGCGATGACTTACTACCAGTAGTAGTGAACAAAATATGCATTTGTGACCATGGCAACCAGAGCTAGTGGTTAACCAATCCTGAATCTGACCCTTTGGGCTAAATTGAAAAGTGCTCTGTGCTTTGAAGGCCATATATGCTTCTTTCAAAATTGAGTTTTGATTTTTTATTTTTTTTTGCTGAACTCAAAGCTTGTAAATGCTTATTTTCTTTATTTTTCCTGACCATGCCACGTGCTTTCTTGAAAAGGAGACTTTGCTGGGCTTCTTTTGAAAGACCAAGAGGGGAAACAAATCACATTTGTGTTTTTTTTTCTCTTTTATGGTGAGACCAGAGGTGTCAGACTACCTACAAGATTTCGAGATTGTCTTGGCAGCGGCACAAGGGAAATGAGTTTTCTGGCGGCACACTTGGTTAGACATATTAGGGGCAGTCAGCTAGCATGTCCTGTCTGTGCCATCCTGAAAAACCTTTTGTTAACAGGTTTCTTTTTTGGTTGCCTTTCAAAACCCTCTTGGAAATTCAGATATTACCCTCAGCCATGCAATAGAACTAGATGTTTCTGGTCCTCTTTCCTGTTGTTTCATTTTCAGTAGTTTGATGTATTTCCTTTCTTGATGAATCATCCAGTTGCTTCTTTATCTGACTGCATTCTAAATAAATTCAGCATCATTATTTGCAGAGTACAAACATAGTATAGGTGAAATTACTTCTGCAGTATTCCTTCTGTAAAATGCGTTCCAGGCTCATCAGTATGTGTTAGATACCGCCTCTCCGTTAGTGGCTGCTTGCTATCATGATTTTGTGCCAGTGAGGCATCAGGTGATTCAATTTCCTTTCACTCCACATCGCAGCCTGGACGCAGATGACCAGACAGCTTCTACTGTCATGTCTTTTCAGGTCTACCCTCCGCTCCCGAATGAGGCTGAGATTGCACACGCGAAGAAGCTGTTTCGCCGGAGGAGGACCGGCCGCCGGTGAGTGCGGTGATTACCGTGGGATCTGTGGCTCAACTGTTGTCCTGTTTTTTTTTGTTTTTTTTTTAATAGGACAACAGCTGTTGCAAGAGAAGAAAAGTAGTGTGTGTGCACCTGTCCCTAGGTTAGGACACTGTGCCAATGATCAGAAGGTTGTTGGGTCAAATCCCATTACTGGCAATAATAATAAATCTTCGAGGCAAGACTGAAGCTGAATTGTTTCTCAGAGAATGTGTTGTACGGATGCACATAGGGCAGCATGAGGCTCTGCAGATCAGGACTATGATAGGATGGGGACCAGTTCCAGTCTTGTGGTTGGCAGAGTGATTTCACCATTGAACCCCTGAGAAAGGCCTTTAAACCCCAAATGCTCCAGGCACCAGCTGATTCTGCTCAATCAATTGTACATAGCTTTGAATTAAAGCGTCGGTTAAATAAAAAGGAGAAAAATGAAGCTGGCCAGATTCTGGGCTGCTAGTGAAAGAGTTAATACTCCATGACACAACAAAGTTCTTCTCTGGGGTCAGAGTTATGCTCTCAGGTTCTAGAATGTGTCATTTTTAAATGAGGCACACTTTTTTTGATAATGACACCAGCATAACCAGGAGGCATTTTCTATTAGCTTTACTGGTGTGTTTCACTTAAAAGTTACAGTTAATAAGCTTCTAAGCATGGATAATGCTTTCATTTAGTTTTAAAAATCCCCATTTATTGCTTATATTTCTGTAAATTACCTGCAGTCATTATGCTAAATTATGAATATCAAATTGATTTCATCCACCGTTTACGCAAAATTTAATGAAAGCACAAGAAGTTTTAGTTCAAAACACAATGAGTCCCCCTTTTTAACAGAAATACCTCATTTGGATATTCAGGTTAACACTTGGAATTTACCAGAGGTTTTGTCTGATAGTTTCCTGCCTCGACATTCGATACACAAGATCCCGGTGTGTGACAGTCTTCTTTCCATCCCGGCAAGTTGTTTTCCCACATTTCTCTCATAGGACTGAGTTACATTTATTAAATCTCCTGATGCTTTTTTCCACAGCAACTAGAAGCTGAGGAAGGGTTACAAAGTTGTTGTGCCCCCTGGGATTTAAACCCACAACCTTCAGCGTAGTTAGTACAGTGTGCTACTTGTTGAGCGACGGGAGCGCCAGTTGGGTTTTGATGCCGCGTCGGGAGCGGACAGTTTTAGCCGAGCCCGGCTCTCGCTGCACCCTGCAATCATAAAGCCCGTTTCAGGGTTTATTCCTGCTCTCTCTCTGCTCTCTGTCATCCAGATTTTTTATTTTTTTTTTCTCCACCAAAAATTATAGCCCTTCCTTATGAGGGAGAGCCGCCTCGCTGTAGGGTCAGGCCAGGAGTGGAGTCCGTTAGCCGAGCTGTCTAATTACTCCGCCACAGGCCCAGGAGTGATGGCAGGTTCAGCCAAGGGGTGGCTCCATAATCCAGGCCCGTCATTAGTCAGGCGGCCTGGCGCTCCCCTCCAGAGAATTAACACTTCAGACATCCTGGCTGCGGCGAATCGGATCCGCGGGATTTGTCGGTCTGTCGCACTCCTGCCCCTCCCCTAAGCCAGGAAAAGTCCCTCTTTGTACTGGTGTGTGGGGCTGAAGAGCAGGATTGATTCTAGGATTTTTTCTTTGGCAGGAGGTGCGGTATAAGGCATACAGAGGGGGCAAAATTTTCATTAGCCAATGATATGCGTTGAATCAGTGAGTGACGGGCGAAGGGAGACTCCAGGGGCCAATTAGCTTTCAGCTGAGGCTAGTGCTCCTGTGTCCCCTCCCCTTTATAGCGCCCTGCTCAGGCGTACACCTCCCACTCCTGGCCCCTTTTCCCCCGACCGTGTTCCAGGAACCGGCCCATGTGGTGAGTCTGCCGCACCCGGGCCCCTCCCCTTCTGTGGCCGCCGTTCCCGCAGTATCGCGTGCGGTGTGTGACATCTCGTCCGGCGACGCCGCCCCAGGGTAATACGAAACATGCGTCGGGCTCAGACAAACTATTAAGCGGCGTGTTGGCATTCCATAAATTAAGACGCAGTCAACAGACGGCAGTTAATTTCATTGCTTTGTACCCCTGGGCTAAGCAAAGGGAGCAGAACATGCAATAAAATGCAGAGCTACTGTGACGGCTGCACGTTAACCTTCTGCAGTTGGTGCAGGAGACCAGAGGAGGGCCTAATATGGTGCAGACCACGGCTTTACCCTTTTCCGCGTCGTCCTCGCCGCTGCCGCGTCAAGTTCCGTTACAGCTGGAGAGTTGACTGTTTCTGATGACCTGGGGACCAGCCCCCAGCATCTGACTGCCCCCAGTGGGCAGAAGAGTCATTATCCCCCTGCTTCATTAGACGTCTTGATGCAGGAGGAGCCCCAGTGCTGAATTTCTGAATTTGGACCTGCCTTATATTTTATGTGGTCATTAGAAATGTGCTCCTTTATTTTCGTTTAATAAATCACGCTCTGGATGTTCCCAGTGGCTGCTCTCTGGACTTGGCTGACTTCACAGTGCACTGCTCTGAGCTTTCTCATGTTCCTGGCTCCTCGAAGGTCTTCAGATGCTCTTACGGGGGGCTAGGAAGGCGCCTCGCCATCGTTTTGAGATCACTCTACCTCTGCTGTTCCCCGTATGACTGATACTCGTTTCTTATAATCTCAGGCCAAAGTGTTTTATTTCCTTTTCCTTTCTTTCCCGTGGGACAGAGCGTTTTCTCTGGCGGAACACCTTAAAGAGAATCGCATGATGTAATTCTTGATCTTGCACCTCTGTCATTCATTTAAAAGAAAATGGCTATAAAGCTTTGTCCAAAAACCATTAAGCTCAAAAGTTCAAGTTGCCAGCTAGATTTAAACCAGTTCAAAAAGGCTGTTCAATGTTGTTTGTTATGCTCTTTGGTTTATTTATCTAAAAATGTGAATAATTACTGGAATAAAAGACATAATTTCTATGGGAGAATATTGCTGGTGCCAGAATTAGGCCGTATTACTGCCATACTAAGAGCTTCATGCACATTTAAGCCCTAGTCTCATGCACACATTAGCAAAGGAAATACAGGCAAACTCCTGCTTCACCAGTGGCTGCTGGCCACTAGCTGGAACGCAAACACAAACCTGGCATCAGGCGATCTAGAGCAGAGCTCTCTCCCAGTTTGGGATGTGATAAAACTTTGTCTGAAATTCATTATTAAATCGGCATGTACGTCCTCAAACTAGGTAGTTATAATATTAAAATGTTCTTAAAATGTTCTCATCAGTTAGGTAGGAGTTCTGATGTTTTTTTTGTTTTTGCCTGTTTGTTTTTTGGTTTTTTTGAATTTGCGGCTCTTAAGTCTTTCGAATTAAAGTGCCTGCTTTTTGACAGGTGTTTTTTTGTGTCGTGTTTGAAGGGGCCTTGGATCCTGTTGCCTGCTTCAGTCGAGAAAAAGCACCCTGTGGGCGTCAGGTCAAATGAAGCCATTCGCTCTTTCAGTTTCCGACACCTTAAAGTGTCAGCGTGCATTAATATCAAAGATCCTTGTCTTTGATACACAGGCGTGTACCTAAACACACACGTGGGCTGCGAAGTCACAGGGTAGTTATGGGACAACACAGAGGTTTGGAAGAAAAACATAACGTCAAGCGACAAGCTTTTTTCCCCTATTTTTTAGCTTGAAAATTCGAGTGGCAGTTGAGAGCCAATAGGGGGCAGTCTGCTCTCTGGGCACATGGATTCTAGGCATTCTGGCATTTGGAATGCTTTGAAATTAAGCTTGATTGTGCTGGTGGAATGTGCTTCTCTCTGCCTTTATTCCAGAAAGTCTTTTCTGTTCCTGAATGTCATTCTCTATACCACTGGATACTCTTTCAGTTGAACCAGCTCTCTACCTCCGGTTTAATTTCTGTGATACCATACTTTATGCACAAAAATATTCATGTGTATGTTGTTCCTTTAAAGTAAATACAGGTGGTAACATCTATGCCAGTTCCTCTATCTGTATCTAGTTTCTGCAACCAGATTTGTAAAAGTTAAATCATCCCTTGCTTATACTGTTCTTCTGTAACTGGCACATATTTAGAAATAATGGTTAAACCACCAAGTTTACATGAATCATTCTACTCACCCTCGATGTCCTGTTGTTCCGCAAACAGGAACTGTTTTCCTTATGTTGTGATTTCTGACCGATGTTACATTCACTGTTAGCGTGACCAAAGGTTTTTTTTTTTAATACCTGGAAAATATTTCTGTTTTGCAGGCAAAAGTATATGGAGTTATGCTAACTTGCTAGGACACATTGTAAAAGATTTGGAATGAGGTTTGCACCTGAAATGTTTCCTGAAACAGCTGTCAGTGTAGTTCTCCTTATTTTCAGTTTTTATTTTTTTTATTTTTATTTTTCAAAACATTGCTCATGACAGATAAGGGTTATTTGAATGACGATCTTGTTCTGTGAAGAGTAAATTACAAAAATAGAACTTAAAGAAATCTTTATGATAATGTTATGTATATGCATGTTGCTTTGTTTAGAAGCCTGGGGTTGTCATGGCGACTGTCAGTGTGTTGTCACATCCCACCCTGAGTTGCCATTGCATTCCCACAATCCCCTTCATTTGAATGTTAGTTGTTTTGCCCTATTTTGTGTCCCTTCCATTCCATCTCCTGCGTGTCCTCCCTGCCCTCCTCTGCCTGTGTGTCCTTCTCCTGTCCATACCAGTCGCTTTACAGTTTCATGCTTTTAGACACACACACACCTCCCTGGAGCAGTTAATCGTGGTGCTGCCCTTTGACGGTAGACGGCAAGTGACCAGGTCAGTAAAAGCTCTTAACAGGGCAATGGGTCATTATGGTGAATCATTAAGACTTTACTTGATTCAGATTAATCTTAATATCGAACAATTTACAATCATTATTGTCCGAGTGCTGAGAATGTGTTCTTAAATCAGATGCAAATTCTGTTCTGGAAATCCTTTCAGTCTACACTGAAATTAAGGCATTTTCAACCTTAGATGATGGGTAAACTGCTGCATTAAAATAATCATTAACTGATCAGTGATGATTAGGGCACCTTGGAAAACTCTTATTATAAACGTGGATAAGAAATGACGAGCACACGACTGCAGGAGTGTGTGAGAGTCTCACTTCGGCGAATGGTGAGCGATTCGCTCGTCGCTCTCGCACGGTTGTGGGAACGCGGAGACGTGCACGAGGACCCACGCTCACACCTCGCTGTCTGCCACGTCTGAGTCCTTTCCTCATAGCGCACATCCGAATGTAATTAACGCCCAGTGGAGCGTACAGAGGCCAGAGCCCCAGCCCGCATGCTGGATGGTCACCGAAATGTGACAGCCACGCTAAGTCTGTCTTCCCAATAGTTTTATCACCTTCGTATAACCTAAGCGCTTCTTAAAATTAGGTTGATTTTTGTGTTTGTTATGTTTTTATTTACGGCACCCAGAGGATGCAAACTGTAGGGCTGTCTGCTTGCATGTGTGAAATAACACTATAGTCGTGGTTTTGCCACAGTGCAAAGTTTTAAAAAGAGTTTTAAAACGCAACATACAACACAAATAAAATCTCTGAATAGTAGAGGGAAGCTTGGTGATTCGGATGCTTGGTTCTGTTTTAGGGTCATATTTTTTTTACCCTCTTTTCACAGTTTGACCCCTTAAATATCTGGGCAAAGCCTGTGAGTCATTTGCTGGAGTCATGCAGAGGAGATGGGCTCTGATATGTGCAGCATGTGCCTTTGACAGCATCCTGCCCTGCCATGGTAGCTCCTGGCTAGAGGGATCTGTGATGGCCAGACACTGGACCAGGCTATTGACAGGGCAGTTATTACACATTGGCAGCTTTGGCACCTGCGATACGGCCCCGTCCCCCTGCCTGTGTCACCCGGCATGAGAACAACATGCTAAATACCTCTGGATGCACAGATGGTTCTGTAATTGACAACTATGTTAGGCGAAATCTCCGCTAACTGTAGAGTGGCCAGTAAAAACGAATTTATCCACCAGCAGCCAGGTTTGGGCAGGGATATTGTAAAATGCTTTGAGACAATGTAATTTTGTGAAAATGTGCTATACAAATAATAAAAAAAATACATTTCCCCTCTAATTTCTGATATAAAAATGATTAGGGCATGCAAACTTAATTGTTCCACTAGAGAGAGTATTCAAAATTCAAATTTCAGGAGCATGAAGAATCGTCTTTCCCCATCACTGTTATTGAAAAGCTCTTTTGGAAATAAGATTATTTATTCTGAACTTCAAGCGACCGGTAACCACACAGTGTTATTACGTCAGCATTCTCGTTTGCCTCCTGTTTTTATCAGTTATATCCAGTTTCCTTAAATATTTTACGGTGAAAGTTTTTATTTTTCGCCCACTTAAGAGCACAGTAAGAGTCTTGGATATCGACTGAAGCATCTGCCCAAAAGATGTTACCCAAGACTCTGGCGGGGTCACGGAAGGTCGACGCTCGTGAAGCTGGTGAATGCCATGGTCAGGCCTTATTGCTTTGATGTCTTATTCAGAGCTTGTCAGAGATGCTCCTTTTCTGCTGGGCTGTTTCGCTTGAAGGCGGACTGAGGTCCTCAAGGTTGTATCCATGGGCAAGCAGAGTGCTGGGTTCCAGTGAAATGTGTTCAGTTCCAGCAGGAAGTTGCACCAGCTGCTCGGTGATCTACAGACAGTTGCATTTCACAGTAGTAGGAAATGGAATGTCAATGTACTTGAGAATCTGAAACTCAAACCCTGTATACATTTTCACACCGTGATGCCACTGCATATCTGCAAGGGTAAATTACATTATAATTCAACCTGAAATCCAAAGCTCTACGTCGCTGTACTGGCAAGCCTAGAAAATCGGACGGTAGCAACAGCGTCCTGCCTGTACAGCAGGGAACAACATTTGCATCTTCCTGAGTAAGGCTGAGTGTTTAATAACGTGCCAGAGAGAGAAACATGTGGGCTGGTTGTCTTTGACAGTATGTACTTCTTGTTTTTCCCAAATAAGACTCTCCTTAAATGTAAAATATAATAGTAAGATATTTTTAAAGTTTGTCTTTTCACTCCAGTAATCTGCATTTAAACTACTCTTACATCAGTGGAAAATATCTCGAGGAAAGTAAGGAAAATTGTTTGGATCTTGTGTTAAGTTGAGCCAGTGATGATAGCTGGCAGAGTCAAGGAGAGGCAGAGCTGAAATGGCGCAGGGAGTCATAGCAGGCCGGGTAGAATCCAGGGACCACGGCGACATGGAATCCATTGCTTCATTCAGCTGGCGTATATTCCTTTATGAATATATGAAAGATGTGCATTCTGTCTTCCAAAGCACCCGAATACATTGGACTTTGTGCCCATTTATACTCCCGGCTTTTATCTCATGTCTAGTAAAATGTGGATTTGTCTGTTTTTTTTGATGCGGCATTAGAGCTCAACATCATCTCCTTTTTGTTGCCGTTCACAGTTATAACCCAACTTAGCAAATTACTGCCACTTTTTGACACTCCAGCCAAATAACACAAAGAATGATCTTTTTCAGTACATCACCATCTTACTGTCAAAGCCCTGAATGGGGCTCCTCATTATTTTGTAATGTAAAGTCGTAAATCCAGCCTGGTTTGGCCACATTTGTTCCTATTCAGTTTTTTTTTTCCTTGACATTGCATTGGGGAAAAATGACGCTGGTGTGTGATGTCTTTGCGAGAGTGAGAATGTTTTTTTGAGTTTGCTCTCTGTGAAAGGTTAGGTCTTTCTCATCATTTTAGGGTAAGATCAAGCTAATGAACAATAAAGTCATTTCTTCATAGCCCTTTTTTGATCATTTTTATTAAGGGTGCCAGTAGAAAGGGAAAGCTGTAAAGTAGTTTTTTTCAGCCAGCATGACTTTTCTCAGGCTAAGGATTATTAGGTTTTCTTGGTAACTCAGATTTGTTCTGGTTTCAGGAGACAGCAGCGATTGCAAGGAGTTGGGAAGTCCCAGAATCCTCAGCAGCAACAGCTGCCACAGCAGCTGCAACAACAACCACAACAACAACCACAACAACAACAACATCCACAACAACATCCACAACAACAACAACATCCACAACAACAACAACATCCACAACAACAACAACAACAACAACCACAGCAACAACAACAACCACAGCAACAACAACAAGCACACCAACAGCAGCAGAATGCCGAGCATTCGGCAGCCAACACCAAACATGTCCGCGAACATGGCCGCCAGTTCCAGAACCAGAGTCCACACCCATCTGGGCGCCACCACTGCTACAGCCAGAACTGGCGCTGGAACCATAACCAGAAGTACCCAGTGGCGGCGCTAGGGGGGGCCACTGATGACAAGGGAGCTCTCAGAGACACCAAAGAGACTGACAATGTGAGGGTGGAGGAACCGCCCCCACCCCGGGGAGAGCCAGTGGCCGAGCGTAGCCATGGCGACCGGCAGGGCCGCGCCCCACCCGCGGAGGACAAACACGCAGAAAGCTACTCAGCAGGGCCCAAAGTCAGCCTACTGCAGTCATCCAAGGAGAGGCTGAGGCGCAGGCTCAAGGAGAAGGTATCGCTGTGCTTGTGTGAGCACTCTGCCTGACCCCTCCACCTCACTCTGCCTGACCCCTCCACCTCACTCTGCCTGACC